TGATTTGTCATTCCATTCTGCATCGAAATATATACTCGTTTTGAAAATTTCGAGGTGGTTTGATTTGTCTTTTTATGCGTCTCCATCCTTTATTGGTGGTTTCTCGAAATGTGTAGTCTTGCAGTTTTTCTGCTGGAAGAGCTGTGTCCCGAAAATAACAATACTACAAACTTTGAGAAACCATGAACGGAGTCGAATTCCTCAAACCCAATATGATTTGATCAAACTTCAAATATATAGTTATTTTCCTAAAATAAACTTCTTTAGAGCGAAAAATTAAACTGACATATTTTCATTACCCAATAAAATAATTTCTCAGTAACCAAAGTTCGCCGTCTCAGCCCTCTGATTAAATACAAAGCACCTGTTACTTAGTGGAAATCATTATATAGCTATACAGGTCATGTTGTAAAAATGCAGTCATAGATCACGACACACGATATCGAAAATATATCATCACTCAATTCATCAGATAGCAAATGTCAATAAACCGCCATTGCTCTATTCATTGAATACTTTCGAATATTCGTAGAAAGACTTGTTATATTATAATTGTTGTTATTAAATAACAATCCATGCTATTCATGACGCTATGGCAGGAGTGCTGCAACACAGATATACTGGCATTCGTTTACCTTCAAAACGGTTTGAAAATCTCATCATTTTATTCTAATTGTAGCTTATGACATGTTCTCAAAGAATAAATAAGATAGAAACGAATGCAGTTTTCAACTTATAGTTAGTGGCAATTCATAGTCCGTTTTGTCATCATGTTAGCTGCTGTCTGTGTTCTTTCTCAATCACTGAATTGATTTTACAGCAGCAACACAAAGATTAATTTTCATTTTATTTTCGACATTTTGATAAATTTATTATCATTTTCAAGAAAATATTACAATAAAATTTAAGAAATAAAGTACAAGATCCACATGGTAAGCGTATTTAATAAGGACTTCATGATATAAACATATGAGGATACTTAATAGTTACAAATGGAGATGGAGAGAATATAGACAAATAAAGATTTATAATTACATTATAGAGACAATATTTGAGTTTCAATATAAAGACAATATAGGTATATAGATATATATATATATGACAATATTCAAGTTTCAATAGAGAGACAATATGCAGATATAACAATGCAAGATGTTTGACAACAGGAGGAATCACTTATAGATATATAATGTTTGAGTTTAAATATCGAGACAATATAGTGCTATAACAATGTGAGAAATTTTGGCAATAGAAACTATGTATAGAAATAACAATATTTAAGTTTATATATAAAGCCAATATAGAGATATATTAATTGTATAACTTTATGCTAGAGAAAGAAATTGAGAAACGACAATGTTCGAAAATTATATGTGAGAGTACAGCAATTTATGAATAAAGTTTGAACGTAGTATGAGATAAAATGAATTATAGAATTACTTACGTAAGATTATATAGAGACGATGCTTTTATTATGATTATTCTAGCTTTTAACCTTGACGGATGGTTTCTGATTGTTATAGTTTCTTGGGTATTCTTTGAGATATATCAATAGTGGAACAGATCTGGTTGTAGTATTAAAAGCTGATGAGAACTCAGCGATAGCTAGGGATTTCCTCACGTGAATGCGATATGAGTGTCTGTCTCTACTAATAATAGGCCAATTTTTCCAATCAACACGATGTTCTTTTTCGTTCAGATGGTGATGTACTGCCGATTTTATTTCTGAATATGCATGCTTTTTGGACGTTGTAACTGTGGTGTCTCCATTCCTATCATCACTACTATCGAAATCACGTGTTGACCTAGAGATCCTAGTGTTTGCGACGATGCGAGCATACCATCTAAGACCCTCATCAGGAATCGGCTGTATTGGCTGCAGTGCACCGTGCTCTTCCAACGGACGACACATTTGTCTGATAGGTTTTCCAATATATGTAACTGGACAGAAAACGCAGTTCCACACGAGACTTTTCAACAGTCCGTTCGTATCATCACGAACAGTAAGATGTCTAGCTGACATCTTGATTTGATAGTAGTAATAATAGAAATGGAGACACCACAGTTACAACGTCCAAAAAGCATGCATATTCAGAAATAAAATCGACAGTACATCACCATATGAACGAAAAAGAACATCGTGTTGATTGGAAAAATTGGTCTATTATTAGTAGAGACAGACACTCATATCGCATTCACGTGAGGAAATCCCTAGCTATCGCTGAGTTCTCATCAGCTTTTAATACTACAACCAGATCTGTTCCACTATTGATATATCTCAAAGAATACCCAAGAAACTATAACAATCAGAAACCATCCGTCAAGGTTAAAAGCTAGAATAAACATAATAAAAGCATCGTCTCTATATAATCTTACATAAGTAATTCTATAATTCATTTTATTTCATACTACGTTCAAACTTTATTCATAAATTGCTGTACTCTCACATATAATTTTCGAACATTGTCGTTTCTCAATTTCTTTCTCTAGCATAAAGTTATACAATTAATATATCTCTATATTGTCTTTATATACCCAACTGGCCTTTCGAGAGGTATTTCGACGCCTCGATTTTGCACTGTCAATGTTTCCTAAGATACCCATCGCCGAGCCCTCGATCCATCGGAAAATGGCAATCCGAGGGGTCAATTTGAAATTCCGATGGGTATAGCTCGTGTCTCAAAATTGTACCATCATATATGTTTCAAAGTTTCAATCTCGTGCTTCTGCTAACTATCAATGTACCTACCATCAGACTCTGGACCCATCGGAATTTCAAATCGACCCCTCGGATTGCCATTTTCCGATTGGTCGAGGGCTCGGCGCTCCCCTCGCATGTCTTTTTTGGCTCGCTTGGGTATAAACTTAAATATTGTTATTTCTATACATAGTTTCTATTGCCAAAATTTCTCACATTGTTATAGCACTATATTGTCTCGATATTTAAACTCAAATATTATATATCTATAAGTGATTCCTCCTGTTGTCAAACTTCTTGCATTGTTATATCTGCATATTGTCTCTCTATTGAAACTTGAATATTGTCATATACAAAGGGTGATTCAAAAGTCTTCGTCGTTCTTAGAAAAATTGCTCGCTCTCCCTTATTATAAATCTTTAAACGTTCAAAGTTGGAGGTCTAATCTCTTGTAACTAGACGAATATTACCCTAAATTTTCAGATCTATAGTCCTTATTACAGGGGAGATTCATAGGTTCGTATGATAGGGAAGATTTTTTTCCTATGTCTTAAAATGAAAATATCGACAATTTACGATGCACGCAATTAAAAATTTCCGTAAATACTTTTTTTTTGTATTTTTTCTGTATGCTTCTATAGGGCGCAAGCAGCTGGTTACGAAAAGTTGATTTTTAGCTTTTGAAAAAGCTCCCGTGCATCCGAAAAAAATAGTTTCATAAGCTGAGAAAAGAAAGAGGATAGAAAATTTCGCGTACTGTGAAAAATGATGCGTTTTACGACAAAAATGGTTCCCTTCAAAGTTTTCAACTTTTTCCACCTAAAAAGCTGTTTCAAAAAGCTAAAAATTTATTTTTCGTAATAAGCTGCTCGTGCCCTATCGAAGCATATAGAAAAAAATATAAAAAAAGTGTTTACTGAAATTTTGAATTGTGTGCATCGTAAATTGTCGTTATTTTAATCTTAGGACAAGAAAAAATTCTCCTCTATCATACGAATCTATGTATCTTCCCTGTAATAAGGACTACAGGTCTGAAAATTTAGGGTAATATTCGTCTAATTAGAAGAGATTAGATGTCCAAATTTGAGCGCTTTTAGATTTATAATAAAGGAGAACGAGCAATTTTTCTAAGAACGACGAAGACTTTTGAATCACCCTTTATACATATATTTATTTTGTCTTTATATTCAAACTCAAATATTGTCTCTATAATGTAACTATAAATCTTTATTTGTCTATATCCTCTCCATCTCCAATTGGAGCTACTAAATATCCTCATATGTTTATATCATGAAGTCCTTATTAAGTACGCTCACCATGTAGATCTTGTACTTTATTTCTTAAATTTTATTGTAATATTTTCTTGAAAGTGATAATAAATTTATCAAAACGTTGAAGATAAAATGAAAATTAATCTTTTTGTTGCTGCTGTAAAATCAATTCTGTTCTTATTCAAATTATTGCCTAGAAACTCAAATAATATTTCTCCATCACGATACATGTCGCGAAAGATTTCTCAAAGAAATGGAAGAGAGCGCATAGCGTGTAATGTAGGAGATGAGTTTCGCGAAACTTAACGAGGTTCTGCCTGAAAACTACTGCTTCCCATCCAGATTTAGTTGCAATAATCCGACAATTCTCAATGGTAAATCATTAAAATTATGAAATTATGATACAGTCCATTAGGGATAATTGAAGCATAGTTGCTGATCAGTTTTTATCTTTTTGTTGTTGTGTTTTTATAGTTCCAAAATGTGCACTTAATTTTAAAGCAACGGCTCAAAATCCAATTAACTATAAGTATGGTCCACGATCTATCACCATGGGCGACTTCAACAACGATACTTGGCTAGATATCGCTGTTGCCAATCATGATGCTGACAATATAGCCATATTTTTCGGATATGGCAATGGCACTGTGGCAAGTCCAGTCAAATATTTCATCGGTTCTGGTTCTGCTCCATGCATGATCGCTGTTGGTGATTTCGGCAATGATCATCGACTGGATATCGCTGTCGCAAATTTCGGTACAAATAGCGTCGGTGTACTTGGATTTCAAAACGGATCTTTTGCGAACAAAACAACTCTATCTACTGCATCATCTCGGCCCGTTTGGATCCATATAGCAGATATTAACAATGACGGAACAGTAGATATTGTCACTGCTGACTATGGTACACACAGTGTGAGTTTATTTTATGGATATAGAAATGGAAGCTTTTCAAACCGAAGCACCTACTTTACAGGCTATGATTCTTTCCCATCTGCTGTTGTCAGTGGCGATTTCAACAACGACACACAGATGGATCTTGCTATCGCCAATTATGGCACCAATAATGTTGGTATACTCCTTGGTACTGGTAACGGTACTTTCGAAAAGCAAAGCACGTTCTCGACTGGTCCTAATTCCCATCCTTACTCGCTTGTCGTTGGTCATCTTAACGAAGACAACATGCTAGATATTGCCGTCACAAACTATGGAAATAACAGTGTAGGTGTACTTCTGGGTCACGTCAATGGAACTTTTATGAGCCAAACGACATATTCTCTCGGCACTGTTTCTCCATATTCTATTGGCATTGGTGACTTCAACAATGACAATCGAATGGATTTAGTCGTAACCAATAATGGCACTAACAATATAGCTCTACTTGTCGGATATGGCAACGGTACCTTTGTAAGCCCAAAAATGTATTCAACTGGATCTACTTCGTCCATCTCCGTTGCCATAGGTGATTTAAATAGCGATAATCGTTCAGACATCGTCGTCATCAACAATGATACGAGCACCATAGGCATCATGCTTGGTTATGACGAGTTTTTTCCAATTTCAACGGCATATCGAACTGGCTTTGCGCCAATCTTTGTAGCTGTTGGTGATTTTAACAACGACGCCCATCTGGATATCGTCGTCGCTAACCGAAATGAAGACACAATAAGTGTCTATCTTGGCTATGGCAATGGTTCTTTCTCAAATCAAGCACAATATTTAACTGGCTCTTTGCCAGTATCTGTAGCTATTGGTGACTTCAATAACGACACCTATCTCGATATCGTCATTGCTAATGGACAGGAAGACACTATACGTGTACTTCTCGGATATGGCGATGGCTCTTTTATAAATCAAATGACGTATTCAACTGGCGCTGGACCATGGTCTGTAGCTGTTGGTCATTTTAACAACGATACCCATCTGGACATCGTGGTCGCTAATGCGAATGGCGCAACTGTAAGTGTCTTTCTTGGGTATGGAAATGGCTCTTTTGCAAATCAAATGATGTATTCAACGGGCGCTGGACCACGGTCTGTAGCTGTTGGTGAGTTTAACAACGACACCCGATTGGATATCGTCGTCGCTAATTTTGGTGACAATACTATGAGTGTCTTTCTTGGTTATGAAAATGGCTCGTTTGCACGTCAAAGAAGATATTCTACTGGCAATAAGCCATACTCTATAGCTGTTGGCAATTTTAACAACGATACCCATGTGGATATCGTGGTCGTTAATAAAGATGATAACACTGTAAGTGTATTTCTCGGATATGGGAATGGCTCTTTTGCAAACCAAGCGAAATATTCAACTGGCTCTAACCCACAATCTGTAGCTGTTGGTGACTTCAACAGCGACACCCGACTGGATATCGTCATCACTAATTTTGATGACAACACTGTAAGTATACTTCTAGGATATGACAATGGCTCTTTTGCAAATCAAACGTCATATTCAACTGACTCTGGTCCACTATCTGTTGCTGTTGGAGATTTTAACAATGACACTCGACTGGATCTCGTGGTCGTTAATTTTAATAACCACACTGTGAGTATACTACTTCGCTATGACAGAGGAGCTCTGGAAGATAAAATCACATTTGCATCTGCTGATGGTTCTCGTGTACGAAACTTTGCCGTTTTTGATTTCAATAACGATAGCCTATTGGATATTGCTGTTATCAATTATGGTACTAATAATATTGGTGTTCTTCTTGGATTAGGTAATGGCACTTTCGGGAATCAAACGCTGCTCTCAACAGGTTTAAATTCACATCCTTACTCAATCGCCATCCATGATTTCAATAAAGATGGGCAAGTGGACATTGCCGTGGCCAATTATGGTAATAAAAGTCTTGTTACATTTCTGGGAAGTGGGAATGGTACATTTGAAAATCAAGCAAGTTACAGTGCAGATTTCGATTTTCATCCATTGATAATTGGTGCTGGTAGTTTCAACAAAGATGGACGGTCAGAAATTTTTGTCACATATGACGGCATCGATCATGTAGATGTGCTTGTTACATACAACATCGGATCTTTTAGTAATCACGGTAAATATTCAACTAGTTTAGGGCCCAGGTCTCTAGCTGTTGATGATCTTAATAACGACAACAATCTGGATATCGTCGTTGTTAATCAAGGGGACAGCACGATAAGTGTACTTCTCGGTTATGGAAATGGCTCTTTTGGAAATGAAACAAGATACTCAACTGGCTCTTCGCCGTGGTCTGTAGCTGTTGGCCATTTTAACAAAGATATTTATCTGGATGTCGTCGTCGCTAATTTTGGTGACGGCACTGTAAGTGTTCTTCTCGGATATGGTAACGGCTCTTTTGCGTATCAAATGAAATATTCAGCTGGCTCTAGACCAATATCTGTAGCTACTGGTGATTTTAACAAGGATATCCAACTGGATATCGTCGTTGTTAATCAAAGGAATGACACTGTAAGTGTACTTCTTGGATATGGCAATGGTTCTTTTGAAAAACCCCTGCAATATTCAACTGGCTCTATACCACGCTCTGTAGCTGTTGGTGATTTCAACAACGATTCGTATCTGGATATCGTCATCGCTAACTTTGGTGATGACACTATAAGCATCCTTCTTGGATATGGCGATGGCGCTTTTGCAAATCAAATGACGTATTCAACTGTCGCTTGGCCATATTATGTAACTGTTGCTGATTTTAACAAAGATAATCATCTGGATGTTGTCGTCGTTAATACTGCTAGCAACTCTGTAAGTGTATTTCTCGGATATGGTGACGGCTCTTTTGCAAATCAAGCGACATATTCAACTGGCTCTGGAGCAAGTGCTGTAGCTGTTGATGATTTAAATAACGACAATCGACTGGATATCGTCGTCACTAATTGGAATGACAACACTATGAGTGTCTTTCTTGGATATGATAATGGAGTTTTTGCAGATCAAATAACTTATCCAACTGGCCATAGTCCTGTGTCTGTAGCTGTTGGTGATTTTAATCATGACACCCGACTGGACATCGTCGTCTCTAATATGAATGAGAATAGTGTTAGTGTATATCTTGGATATCCCTATGAAGGTTTTCTAAACTACATGAGGCTTAAAACTGGGAATGGGTCTCGGCCTAAATCGTTCGCCATTGGGGATTTTAACAATGACGGTCACACAGATATTGCTGTGGCGAACTCAGACACTAATAACGTCGGTATTTTTCTGAGATATGACAACGGTTCTTTCAGAAGTCAAATGACATATCCAACGGATTCTTCTCCGTGGTCGGTAGCTGTTGGTAACCTCAACAACGATACAATACTTGATGTCGTCATTGTATATCGTAGCAATGACACTGTTGGTATACTCTTTGGATCGGGTAACGGTTCTTTTTCAAATCAAAAAACGTTTACAACTGGTTTTAACTCTCAACCAAACGCGGTTGCTGTTGCCGATTTCAACAACGACACCTGGCTAGACATTATTGTTGCGAATTATGGTACAAGTAAAGTAGGTGTGTTATTTGGATATGGGAATGGCTCGTTCGCAAGTGTACAGGTTTTTTCGATAGGTTACGGATCTCTTCCGTTCTCGATTTCCGTTGGTGCTATAGACAATGATGGAAAGTTGGATTTCGTCGTCGCCAACGAGGGTACTGACAATTTAGAAACTTTTTTACAGACTTGCTAAGAATTATTGCAACTGCTGACTTGCGTTTTTCTTTCATTGATTCACTATTTCTAACTGCTACTTACTGCTACTAATACTTCTTCTAACTTCTGTTTGTCGTGTGAGTGTGTTTTGACAGCTGACGAATTTTATATAAAGACTAGAAATATAAAGTGAAACTACCGCAATGCGTTTTAATTTGGCACAGAATTTCGTCAAATGTAGGTCTGGGATATGTCTAACACACCATGATGCCTTTCGATCTTGCTCTAGGCTCTAATCAGATGATTACACAAAATGTATGTTTTCGAGCGATATTAAGTTTCGAGAGAACATAAATAATCTACAATTAGTGTTTATAGGTTTTTCGAGGAATATAGGACATTATAATTGGCTGTTATCGTGTTTGTGTGCGGCATGGGTGTGGGATGTGGGTGGGTGTGTGGGTGTGGGTGTGTTATCAATCATACACCCACACCCACACCCGTACATCCACACCCTGTTTCTTTATGTGAACACTGATGCCGAACTATTGTTATCTTGGTTTCGATTGTATCAAAGTTATGAAATGAAGGCAGATCAGTTAGTCTCGTGCGGACGCGGCATGGGCATAGTGAACGAAAAGTGATAGCATTCGTAGCTCTTGTATAATGATTATGGCACAATGAGAAGGGTATATAGAAAGTGTTTTGAGGTTACCCAGGATGGAGTGAACTTTGGATTTAGAGATGCTAGCAATAGTTGTGACGTGATTCTTTGTCTTTTTTCACTGGTTGTAGCAAATTGTCGATATGAAGATGTGGTTCAGACTCTAATTGTGGGGCGTAGGTGGAACTATGTAATAGATCAACACCCTCACTCACACCCACACCCTCTTCAGTATCAAACTAAAAAGCGCTGATTTTGTTTTCATCACATTGTCGCAGCGTGTAGTGGTTATTGTACCAATTCTTGTTCAAGAAGACTTTGAGTAAGACCGGAATCTTATGGTTACGAAGTAGATAATTTTTGACATTGTGTCTTTCTACTTGTTTCAAATTTACCGTTTTTAGCTTTATATTATTTGTTCTTTTCTTGTTTTTTTTCAATGAACTAGATGTTTTCTTGAGAAAAATGATTTCAACTAATGAATTAACTGCTGTGATTTTCTTTACTATCGATGGACTAAACAGGAATAAATGATATTTAATGCGGAAAACATATTTTAGAAAAGAAAAAGGAGAACTTTATGCATCGAAAAGTTAAATAATCGTTTTCTAAAGTTTTCCAAATAGATTTCGAATTTTTCTGAATCTTAATAGAGAAAAGTCAATTTCTAACTTTTTTGACTTGACGACCCTGAATATCATCTCTTTATACAAGATTCTCCAGAAAATATTGTTTTAAGAGACTTTAATAATCTCTCAGAAATTTCTCGAGAAAACAACAGCCAAATACCTTCTGTCACTCAAGTTTCTATTCATATTGACGCATTAGTTCATGCAAAACTTATAATTTTCTGGAAACTTGTGATGAGTACGGAAATCAATTGATACTTAATAATACAGATAAAATATCACCTACAATTAATTATGCATCATCGAAAAGAACAAATAAAAATTTATACTGTCAAATGAAAAAACATACAAGCTTTTATTTGGATCAATATCATAGTGTAAAATAAATGAATTTTGTAGCATTGCGAATGTTTTTTTTCTCGTAAAGATTGGGAAACTATCGACAAAGAATTGAACGAAGTAGTACAGTGATTTTCTGAGAATAATACAGTTAAATAGATTGACATGGCCTGTCATCTAAAGTTTTTTAATTGATATCATGTTGAAATTTGGGTGTGGGTGAAAAGAATAAGAACACCATCACTCCCACCATCAAATTAAACTATACTTTTGTATGTTGAACGTTTCCTCGAGAGATTTTTCACTATTTGGATCATATATTCAATATGAGTATCACACTTTGTGTTGGTTAGAGCCAGACTCAAACAATAATCTGATTGAGAATCGATGCTACAAGTTGCTAAATTTTATAAAGAAGTTTGGTATGACTTTATGATAAATATAGAAGATAAATGTGTTGATGGAGATAGTAAGTGCAGTAGACATCTTAGAATGAAACATTGAAACAAAAGAACTTCTTTCATCATTATGTTTTTTCATAATGTTGAGTAATTACACGAGTATATTGTAATGGGATTTTGGATGATGCTCTTTAATTACTACAGTTATGCATATTTTACTTTAGTAAGGATTGACAAATTGGAAGAGTAGCGCTGCTGCCACACTCATTAATGATGTCAATCACCCTACTTCGTCATTCGAATTGTGTATTACTTTACAATACAACATAAGCTTATATCGGAGAGAAAGAAGTAGAGAATAGCAGACGTCTTGCGAAAAACAATGATACACGGACAAAAAGAATAATAAAAAGGGCAAGAGGAAAAGCAAACACGACGATGCAACGGTTACCACATTTCTAAGTGGACAAAAGGTCAGACAAGGCGTCTGACCAGAGTGGTTCAATTATTTATATAAAACATGGAAATCTAAGTGTAATGCTATGCTTTTTTGATATTCTGTAGTGAAAAACTTTAATGTCCAGCAGAAAACGTCAGAGAACAATAAATAGTGAAATGTAAGTCTTAGTAAAAAATGTTATTCTACGATATTTTCTTTAGGTTAAACACAACTCCAATTACAAAATTTGAACAATTACCGAACGAATTGATCCTAATGTGTTTTTGTTACTTTAGTTATTATCATGTATATCAAATGTTCTATCGTTTAAATCAACGTTTTAATCAACTAATTCAATATGAAACAAAAATTCATCTTGAATTATATTCAATTCCATCTGGAAAATTTTTAACATTTTGTATCGACTTAAATCAAATAATAACAACAAGTCAAAACTATCCATTATCAATTGTAGCTCATGATAAATATAGATTTAATTTAATATTTTACGATGATTTATTTAAAGATAAACTTTCTAAAGTAAAATCATTAACATTATCAAATATAGATGCTAGAACAATATATTCTATAATATTTGATGAAACAATAAAATTGTATCAAAGTTTAGAACGATTAAGTTTACAGAATAAAATTGGTGAAGAAAATAATTATACCGATAATATAAAACGTAATAATACGAATTCTTAATTATCTTTGAGATATAAAATTCGATTTTGTATATTTAGATTTATGTAGCCATTTGATATCATCAAAAATGGAATCATTAAAATATTTGAATTTGAATTTCAAACAATATTCATGTGAATGTGAACATAAGTTGTATAGACGTATACATTGCGTCAATTTAACATTTTATGGATTTATAATAGGATATCAATCATTATCTAATTTAGAAACTCTTATTATTGGAAGTAAATTATTTTTTCTTCCCCCTACATATATCTTATTTATTTTAATAGATATCCCGTGTGGTTATGGCAACGATACCACAACAAAATTATCGTTTAATATATTCATCGAAAATTTATTACCACGTTTATCAAAGTTAAAAAATTTGATGATAAATGCAATCCATTTTGATGATGATAAATATCCAGGACAAAACGGAGTATGCATAAAAATACTTTCTTATTGAAATTATTTATTGTAAATAGTTAGAGAATCGTAGGAAGATAGTCATCACACTTCGATATTACTTATCATAAATATTAACTTTATATTTCTTTTATGTAATAGATACTACCATCAACTACAGAAACAAATCTACATATTCCATTAAATTTAAAATTGATTAAAATTTGGGTGAATGTGGATAGAAATAAGCCAGACGATAAGGAAACAATTACAAAATTTTTACGAAACTTCTTTGTGAATAACAAATCGCCTCATACTGCGACAATTAAAACATTTTATATTAATAATAAAAATGTTTTAAACGAAAACTTGTAGAATTCAATAAAATTTTTTTAAAATAAATTTGGAAGGAGAAAACAACGATATTGGTCTCACACAATATTAACGACAGCTGTTGGTCGGTGTGAGTTTGGGTTTGTGTTAGTCTTTCCTTGAGCTATACTCACACCTACACCCAGCCGTTGTGTTTGTGGAATGAGAATTTCAACATATTCATTTGTGTATTACCATTAGTGCCCGATGTGACCACCATGACTCACGGATAGACACGGGTACTAAAATAGTCGACAACATTCAGGAGTTCAACATTGAGGAGGGACAGAGGATCTTCGCCATGCTGCTATTTACCTTCCGTCATGGATGTGGGTGTGAGATGCGAAGGTGAATACAGTACTGATATCCATGCCAACTCCACACTCCATCCTTAATTTAAAAAAAAATGATGAAATAAAATTTTTACAACTATTTTATTTTTTCTTGTTCTATTAATACATTGCCGTTGTAGTTGTTATTTGAAAAAGTGATTAAATGAAGGTGATTTTTAATGTGACTGTTAAAACAGAAAAATTGCTGTACTATTAAAAACTTTAAAATAATGATGTAGTACAATGAGAAAATTCAACGTCGATTCAAATTACTAAAATAGTTTCGTTAGGTCACATTAAATAAAATGACTGTTGAATTGGAAAAAAATCGAAAGAAAAAATGTTGGAAAAATATCGATGTACACAATAATTCAGAATCATTTTATAAAATTCTGAGTAGAAACAGATAGTAAATTATGGTACTGAATAATATTGATTTTCTAATAGAAATCAAACATACATAAAAAGTAAACAAAAGAAAGTCCCTCTGCCCTCATGCTATGTAAAACTCTGCACCGGTTTCTGTTGTTCAATGTCGTAAAAATACTAATGACATCTACGAACAGCCTTTTCAAAACTGACCAGAAAGAGTCAACATTAAGACGGTGCGGAAGGAGAGTTTCGAACGGTGTGCACGACGAAAAACAAATTTTTGTCAAATGCTATAGAAACTAGGCAAGCAACTAACTCGAGCATTTTTTAAGTCTTCATGTACTTAGACAATGCTGAGCAGAGTCGATTTGGTCAAGATCCTATCTCATATTTGAATTTTGGTAACTATATTGTAATCATGATGAAAACTGTTCTGATATACGGATAATATAAACTCAATACAAGTCACACGACAATTTATCACAGATAATTTCCCTTTTTTCGTTGTACATGTGAAACAGGCATATGGACCACATATAGGTAATCCTTAGAATATTATAGACATTACCGATAGTATTTTCTTCAGACTAATAACTTAATTACTTGAAATTAATTCCCAAAATGTTAAGTGATAAGTAATAATTATAAGTTAAAGATAAATAAAAATATACGATTGAAAAGAAAGATGTTACGAATAGATGATGCCTTTGTAAACATCAAGTATCTTTGAGAATATCAATTTAGTATATAACTTATACTAAACAGGTTAATAAATCATAACGTTGAGAATTAATGTTTATGAAAATCTTTCTCTTATTTCAATAAATCCATGACAACGGGCAAAAAAGAAAGACAAAATAGTATAACAATCATTCGCTTATATATACATATCTAAGCATGCTCATGGTCATGAACCATAACTGTATATAGACGACAGCAAAGTTATCTGTGTATTACAAAAAACACTTCTATTCAGCGTTTGTTCTTTGTCAATAGACTGAATCGTAAGAAAAACTAACTTTCATATAAATTAGTAAGATATTCTTTCACTGTTCTTGAAAATTGTCTGTCGTATAGATCTTCATTTTTCTAATTGTTAAAGATTCATGGTATGTCTTTTTTTGTGGAACACATCTATTTTCGAAGTAAATAGTGAGCGTAACGAAGTTTTTCGGTTCTTTCACTACTCATATAAACAGTAAGCAAAGAACCATGGAAAAATAAGCAAGAGTTACTGATTGAGTCAAAACTTTTCAATAAAATTTAATCGATTTATAGATTTAAAATAAATAATGTACAGTATTCTGAATTTTCATTATCTGTTTGTACAGTAGTTTATTAAGAGTAAAAACTGAAATAAGATTAACTTTTCACATCATTGTGTTTATGAATAATGAAAATAAATGTGTCAAGAACTGATGTAAAACCTCTCCTTGAGCGAATGTATTAAAGATAAAGAAGATGAAATTGTATTTATTTTTGATTTTTTTGTATACACTATTGCCTAATAAAAGGAAGCAAAAAAAATGGGAAAAATCTGTGCGTATATTTAAAGCTAGATGATATATACTGTAATGCAAATCGATATGATTATTTTAATTAGTTGCACTTCGACATTTTTTCAAATATTTTATTTGACATCGTCTTCTCCGATTAGAAAAGTATGAAAATCTAAAAAAGATCATATATAATTACAGAATAACTTTCACTCATCTTAAATATTTGACAATTTGAAACCGACCTTAATTGACTTTTCTAGAGGAATATATCGGATGAAGAAAAAAAAAATATAACTTTTTTTCTAACCAATATTTTACTTTCATTAAAATAAACAAGATCAGTTGAATAGCTTGTTAATCTATAAAAATAATTTTCTCTAATGATAGACAATATTATGAAAAAAACGGAGTTGAATATATAACTATTAATCACTGTGGGTTAATAATTCTTTTATCAACTTTATAGATAATGATAAAATATTTTCTGACTCAGTTCCAAAATTCGTCAGTGTCAATACTACTTGATTCAATGTATTACAGCTACAAATTTTATTTTTACCTGTAATATATAACATTGAGTTAAGGTCTATATTTTCTTTTGAAGTCAGTCCGTCAGATGATCGTTTTAATTTCTATAAACTTGTACATGTAATAAGCACCTTCTTTACACATATAAAATTAGTATTTTTATCACTCTTCTATTCCTATATAAATACGTTTATTACAGATATTCCTCGATTGAAAATAAAATGATCAGAAGGAATCAAAATTTTTATCAGTAAAGATTGGATGGAAAAGTTCATTGAAATATTAGTATGCGGTTTATTTGATAAAATCCACACCCTCAAAAAGATTTTTTTTTTCCTAAAAATGTTATTTACACTTAGCATTTTTAGTGCACATATATTTTACTTGGTAAGTATTGATTTAGAAGAAACTAGAAGTACGAGTTTGTATTTTTATTGAAATATAAAAAAATGTGAATATATACAAAACTCTGTGCTTAAATAAATAGATACTCTAAAACTTGAGAGAAAATATCTCATTTAATAATAAGAAAATTTGTGCATTGGAACAGCTAGATTCATATTGAGAATTTTGTTTCTATTTTTGACGAGAAATAAATACGGAAAAGCAATTTTTATAGGTGATATAATAAATAAAAAATTCTTGCTCTTATTGGATATCAAGTCAAATATATTCGGTCGCCATAATATGCTAATGAAGTATAGAAGTGGTGTGGTAAATTCTACACGAAATGCTAGACTTATGAGAACAATTGATAAGATTGTGAACAGATCAAACATACATATGAGAAGCTCTTTTATATTCAAAAAAACATTATCCATTTGGTCATCAACTAGTTATATCAAGCAATCAAAAGATGTTCGTGACAAGAGTAATGGTTTTACATTAGTTAATTATAATCCTATTTTAAAGAATTCTACTTAGGATATGATTAATTTTTCCATAATATCAATCTAATCATTTTTCATTCTATGCTAAAAAATTAAATCTATACAATATTAAGAACACTTCAAATGTTAAATCATCTTATCGATTTCTAATATATATCGGAATAGAGTTTTAATCCTATTTCATAATAATTGTCGAAAATCTGAATTATTTTTTAATTATCAAAGTTCTATTAAATAAAAAGAATTTTTTTTTTTAAATATTTTATTTATAACAAATGGATATAGATCGTGCAAAAAATCATTTACAATTATTTGCTGTCAATTTATTTTTTTCGTTGTTTTTTCCTTGATTGGGTTTATGTATACATTGTTATTTGTTGAATATGATCGTTGGCAATATGTATCTTACTTGTCATATTCTCGTTTAGTCGAAATTAAAATAATCTCAGATGGCGATTGTTCTCATCATAGGCGGCGGAGCCCTTAGGCCTGGGGAGGCTCAAGCCTCCCCTAAAACAAAATTGGGGAGGCTTTGGGAGGCTCAGATATTTGAAAAAGGTTTACAGATCTTATCGTGATCTCGTGTTTGATTACAGAACGCGGTTTGAAAAAAGTGATGT